TGGGCAGAGGGGTTCTCAGGCATTTCTAATTAATTTTTAGTTGCATTTACATTGTTTTCTTAAAAAGAATATTGATCAAAAAAAATTCAATCCCCAACAGAGAAAATATACTTAATATTGCATAATCAATGGCCAATGGAATGGTTACAGGACCCAAGTAAAGATCAGTAACAAATGGATAGGACACAAGACTGCAACATCAGGAAACAAATGAAAAAGAACAACAAGAGAAAGAAAAAAGAACAAAAGGCCTAAAGAACCAATGAAAAAGAAAAAAACAAATGGAATGGATCCACGACTGAAGGAAACAATACAAAAAAAGGACACCAGGAAACGGTTAATCAATAGGAAGCAAACCAATGGAAAGGACACAGCTCCAATGCAAAGGAAACAGGACCAATGAATGGAATCAGGACCAAAAAATGGAAATAGGACAAATGAAAGGAGACAGGAATAATAAATGAAAACAGGACCAATGAATGGAAACAGGACCAATAAATGGAAACAGGACCAAAGAATGGAAACAGGAATAATGAATGTAAACAGGACCAATAATGGAAACAGGACCAAAGAATGGAAACAGAACCAAAGAATGGAAACAGAACCAAAGAATAGAAACAGAACCAAAGAATGGAAACAGGACCAATGAATAGAAACAGAACCAATGGAATGAAAGCAGGACCAATTAATACAAAACAAATGACCCGTGGAAAGGAAATCGACCCATTGACTATCAAATTCATTGAAAGAAAGAGAAAAAACTGAGTTTCTAGTTTCTACGTCAAGTTTATAAGTCTGAAAGTTAAAAGAAACTGAGCACAAGCAACGGGGAATTAGAGTCAGGCAATCTAAGTCGTGAACCGTCCCCAAATATAAATACAAGTACAGGTTTTCTATTCAAAATGTCTTATATATTTTTTAATTGTTCCACTAAATAACCCCTTAACTTTTAAAGTTATTTTAATGAATTTGTGAATAAAAGATGTGGTTAGTTGTGGATGGTTCCTATTGGTCCTATGGATATCAACTGTAGAAAGCAGTAGCATGAAAGTTTCTATTTTATGTTTTATTAATTTATCTAGTGGAAAGTCTCCTAACTTCACAATAGGTAGGCCGACACTATTCAATCATGAAAGAAAAAAAAAATATAAATTTTAATGATTATTCTTCAGAAAATGTTTGAAAGCAAATGCCGGACACAATGCGGTGCACAACCAGGAAAAATGTCTTCTCTTCTGACTTTTAAAGCATTTTTTAGCCTGAAAAGGCGGGAGGCGGATGTGTTACACATTTTCGATTTTGTATTTTTCATGATCTGAGAGTTACTTTTGAAAACATTTATTCCTGTTTCGAGATTTTTGATAATGAAGACGACATTTTCATATTTTCCAGGAATGTTCGAAAGTCCAGCGCCAACGAAAATTATTTAAAAAAAAAAAAAAATCACAAATATTATGAAATATTAACTATAATGCTTCGAAAAATAATCGATGACTATTGTTTTTAATATCTGAATGATTTGTTTGGAATTAAATTGATTTGTTTACAATCCGAGTTGATTGTTGCATCTTTCTATTTTATTTTATTTTATTTTCTTTCATCAATAATGTTAGTAACCACTTCTGTACAATAAACAGGCCAATTGTACTAAATACTTAAATAACCAATATATTGATCACACAAGAAGAACCAGATGTATTACTTGATACAAAATATATATTTAATCAAATATTTTGGAGTTTATACAATTTACATTTATATTACAAAACTTTTTGGAACCTATATAAATTTTTTTAGCTTAACGTCGTACAACCCTTTGCCTTTTTAAAATACATTTAAAAAAAAAAATAACATTTTTACACCATCATGAGTCATGACTTCTAGTGACTCTCTAGGCCCGTCCGGTCAGATTTTTGTCTTTTATTGAAAATCAAACTTTTAGTTTGAAGAATTCATGACTTTATGATTGAAGAAGCGTGGGAAATTGGGAGAGGGGGACAGTGTGGAATGTAGACAATCAAATACATGATGTTGTTCACTAACCTGAAATTAAAATATTTATTGAAGATTGATATTTTTATTTGAAATGGTAAATTAATAATAAATAAAAAAGACGTTAAAAAATCAAACATGACGCGGAAAAATGTATTTCAGATCACAAAATTACTAGAAAATGTTTTTAAAATGTACATCTATCTCTTTAACATGAAAAGTAGTAAAACTTTAAAATGTTCAATACTTTTTCTGAAGAAGAAGAATAACACTTTAGTTTTAAAAAAAAAATCAAGTCAAATCAAATTTCAAAGCATCCCTATTTCCAAAAAAAATGTTTTTTATTCAACTTAAACATGCTTATTGGTATCTTATAACAATAAGCTCGTATAAAAGTATTTTCTGTTAAACTGCCTCAAAAGCAGTACTTAGGATCAAAGGAACAAATATCAAATTACTCTCAAACCCCAAATCTGAACTATTGAAAAGACAGATTATATAAACTTCCTGATTTCTGAAGGAACAAGTAAGTTTAAGGGGAAAAAGCGAGAAAAAAATATTACAAAAAATTTGAAAAGTCAGCTTTGTTAACAAAATTCCGTAAATTTTATGGAAATAACCTGGATCCGGATCCATTTTTTCCAGTGCGGATCCAGGATCCGTATCCGGATCCGCATCAAAATTATATGGATCCTAAGCATTGCTCTAAGGAATTGAGTCTTTGCCACAAAATGAAATGTTCTAATCCCATCTTTGCAGCCTAATGGTGAAAACCTTTGATTTTTTAAACTAAGATTATTTTATCTAACAAAATTCATAGTTTGAAATATCTAAGGTCTACGACATTGGGTTGCAAAGATATAAAGATTAGAAAATCAGAGTTTGTGGCAAAGAATGAATTCCTTTGATCTGGGAATAAGAGAGAAAACAAATAACAGCAACATAAGTAAACTGGAGCAGCAATAAAATATAGGGTTTACGATTGCTGCAATATTTTACATCTCTGAAATTTAACATGTTTATTTTTCTTTGGCCAACTCATGAATTCGCACATGTTGTGTGGGGGCTGTGAGGCACAAATTCAATTCAGCAATTGTGCATTTAATTCAGAGTTTCAGTTTAGTCTAGATAAATGAATCAAGTATATGGGATGATGGTAGAGTATATATATCAGAATCAGTTTATCCTACGCTAGTTTTTACAAACTGTGTTTAAAAAAATAATGGAATGGACCTTTTTCTCCCAAAATTGAATTTCCCTAAATGATTTTATTCAACAAAAAAACATCTGCGTTCGAATGGGGGGGGGGGGTTTGGTAAATTGATGGGGGTATCTACAGTGAATTCAAAAATATTTTTAACGTGAAGATTCTAATACTATAGTGATAACCAGAAAACAATGGAATAGAAAGACGACATTATAGCAATACTTCGTTTTGATGTTGTTACAAAGTAAATATTTTTACTAGTAATTGGCAAAGCACAATTTAAGTGAAAATTGTTTACTTAAACTATACAATTGCTATGTCAATAATGTTCATTGAACTAGCTTAAGTCCTAACTTAAGTTTAAAAGTAGTCGTCTTCCTATTTCAGAGTTTTCTGGTTATTACTGTATAATGTTGATAAAAAATTGATTATTAGCTAGTTCATGGTAAAAAAAATAGGTTACTAAATGTTGGCTAATAAAGTATATTTGTTTATGGTATAATGTATATTGGACTGGAGTTTAAATATTTGTTTTGGTATAACTAGTTCAGCTAAACATTCTAGGCTTGTTCAATCATTTTATTCTTCTGAAGTCACATATTTAGAGGGTAATCAAGCATTCAAAAATGTCACACAAAAAAGTGCTATGTAAAAAATCATTTTCAATGTTTTGGTTGTAGTAAAAATTCTTGGTGTAGGATTGAACTAGTTAAATTAGTTAAATTTTTGGATTTTGATAATGCTTGGAGGGTGTAATGAATAGAACGCTTTTTCGAAAAAGAGGTTAATTTAATAATTTTTTGATTTTCCTTTAATTTAAAATTTTCTTTAGGGGGCAACAATAAAGCATGCTTGAGTTTTTGAAAATCATATTCATTGAGATAGAGATCTTGAGGTCTATAGTTTGAATGTAAAATAGCATTATTTGATAAATCTAAATTAAATGCATAGAATTATACATTATCACCTTTAAGAAACTACCTCAAAAATACGTTCACATAATTATAATTAAGTGTTGAAGATACAAATTAGAGTGGTACCTAAAGTGTTAAATGTGTAATTATTGTATAGGGCTTGTTTGAGGGACTTTCAAAAAAAATTGAAAGAAATGAAATATTTAAATAAATAAGTGATATCAATCAAGTTCTTAACTTACTGAGAAATCCTCCTCCCTTCTTGCTTTCATAGCACTTTTCTTCATTTTCAGATCTTCTAGGTCTTTTCTTTTTCAGGATATGCCATTTTAAAATTTCACCAACATTATAAATCCGTCACCAGTTACTCTATATACAATTCACTGTCCAACATCTTTGTTTCACATGTATATCTATTCAATATTGAATTTATAAAATGTCGAATCCATCATTTTATCTTAATTATTTATAGTTTATAGATTTAATCGTCAGTTTAGCTAATCAAATCGAATTAAATGATCTGTTTTTATTCATCTAATTTCGCTAAATAATGCTAAAATTAATATGTATGCCTCGAAAGAAACCTTGATAAATAAGTATTAAAATATATAATGTAGAAAGCACACATGGCAATGGTTAACTTTTCCCTATTTGGGCACAGAATTGTAAGGGCCGGGTGTACCAATAAGCCTAGATGAAAATATATAAGAACTCAATAACAATCCCAAGAAACCCAGAGATTAATTTAAAATTGCAGTGTGAAATTCCAGCAAAATTTAAGATATAATTCGATATAGTTTGTTCCGTTTCTTTAACTGCATGTACATTGTACATTTAATTGTACAATCATTGCAAATTGTAACAAAAACATAATTCACTGTACATGATTTACTTATGTTTTCTTATTAATTTTGTGCAAACGTGTATAATCTCAGCTTTCTAAACTATTTGAATGTATGTGAAGAGACTAAACCCAACTGGACAGTGGACACCCAAACAGATGTAACAGGGGGAATACATAGAATACAGGGGTCTGTGTAATCTATTACACCAGAAAAATACAAAGGGTGGAGGGTTCTCAGGTATGCTATATATAGTGTAGACTGCAAGGAAAGGGATTTTATATGGTATAAGAAGAATAACGAAGAGACAGAATATTATAAAATACAAACCTAGGGTAATATAAAGAACAGGATGTCCCAGTATACTAGGATTATACAAGAGAGGAGAATTGTCCCATAGAAGGGTGAGAGGTTTTAGGATGAGCTGGATGAGAGGTGAAGGCTGTATCAGGATTAGCAGGATGAGAGGTTAAGGATGTATGAGGATTAGCTGGATGAGAGGTGAAGGATGTATCAGGATGAGCAGGATGAGAGGTAAAGGATGTATGAGGATTAGCTGGATGAGAGGTGAAGGATGTATCAGGATGAGCAGGATGAGAGGTGAAGGATGTATCAGGATGAGCAGGATGAGAGGGAAAGGATGTACCAGGATGAGCAGGATGAGAGGTGAAGGATGTATCAGGATGAGAAGGATGAGAGGTGGAGGATGTATTAGGATGAGTAGGATGAGAGGAGAAGGATGTATCAGGATGAGCAGGATGAGCAGGATGAGAGCTGAAGGATGTATCAGCATGAGCAGGATGAGAGAGGAAGGATGTATCAGGATGAGCAAAGAGAGAGGGGAAGGATGTATCAGTGTAAGCAGTAAGAGATGGGAAGGATGTTTTGTGTTGAAAAGGAAGAGCTGGGAAGGATGTATCAGGGTGAGCAGGGAGAGATGGGAAGGATGTTTCGTGTTGAGAAGGAAGAGCTGGGAAGGATGTATCAGGGTTAGCAGGGAGAGATGGGAAGGATGAAGTGGGGTAAAAATTAAGAATTTATCATGAGAAGAGAAACACAGAAAAATTGAGTTGATATACTAGAAATATTCGACTGAAGAATTGACTAAAAATTTAAATTGAGTCATCAGCTTGATTCTAAATTATAGAAACCAAAGGAAATATTTGTTTTTACTTTTATTCATACTAAATCCTTTTAACAATTTCTTTAAACCACTTAAACCTTTGAAAAATCGATATTAATAGTTAATAAGCTCTGTTGATTTAAGTTTGGGTCTACAATATATATTATAATTTATACATATATAGAAACTGTATTGATTCGTCTGACAAGGTTCGAACTCTGGGTTTGTTCCTAACTCCTGTCTGTATCCCGGTCTCTCTATTGATCTTCTTCCTCTCTCTACTCTCCTCCTCATCGATATCATTGATCTGGAGGGAGAAAGTTGAAAGAAGAACTTTTGACATATACATAACTTATATCAAAGGGAGTACATACCATACATTAAACACGTGTTTCCATAAAATGTCCTCTTACATGTAGAGAGCACTCCAAACCTTTACATTTTGTCAAGAATGTAAGGCAAGGAAAGTCAATTGCGGTTGTGTATACTCTGTGTACACATTGAAACCAGTTCTCTCTGGGCGGAATTTGTAAACAATAATAGATGCATCAGTGTTCGTTTAGTATCCGAGGAGGTTAAAAGCATTAAATTTTGATAATTTTGATAATTCACGTAATAGTTTCCTATGACCAGAATATTTCATTGATTTTTTATGTGAATGCTGGATCCCATGTCAGGCTTCGACATCCGTCTTGTGTTTACATTAGCGTCCAGAGACAGTACACTGCAGTACTAAAGATGTGTACACTTCTGTTATGACTTTCCTTGCCTTACATCCTTGCATTTAGTAAAACTACGGCTAAACGGGGCACTTCTTTTATTTACATCAACAAATAAAGTACACTAGTGAAGAATGTAGATTGTTTGGTGTCTTTTTTAAATTCCCTTCCCTTATTTGGAATTATATATTTGTTAGTTGAGTTTGAATATGATATGAATTTCAATGAAGATTGACAGATGTCGAATACTTGTTTTTTTCTGAATCTTTATACAGAGGAATATAGATTTTTTAGGATTAATTGATAAACATTCTAGTTTTTTAACCAATCCGATAACTTAATGGGACTGCAGACATAAATCATTTATAGAGTGCATGAAATGTCCGACTCGCCGCGGTTCCCTTAAATCACTATCTGAGTAAAAATGAAGAAGAAAACGTTGTATTTCTCTCATAAAACCTGGCGGATTTGACCATTTCTTTCAATGTCTCTGCGGCATATCCCCGCAAGTAATTTTTAAAGAGAAACCACAATTAAGAAAAAATGTTCAGCTATGTAAATGAGGATATCTCGATCAGTCATCCTTGATCAAACACAGTTAAATATTGTACCGTTGTGAATCGGAAATGCCTTAAAATAATGGGTCTCTTGAAATTGCATGTACAGTCGCTTTATCAAAATTGCTAAAAATTACATATTTTTCAATTTTCTATATTTTGAAGCAAAATCCGACCAACGCACATTAAATCACATGACAGTCATTTACTTGATAAATAAATGCATGTATGTTCAACTATTCAGTCTTGAATTATCTATTAGCTGTCGGGAAACAAAGAAAGTCATTTCATAATAATCAATCATTCATGCCTAGGGGTGAGAGGGGGTGCCAAGGGGTGAGATGGGTGTGCCTAGGGGTGAGAGGGGGTGCATAGGTGTGAGGGGGGGGGGAGTTGTGAAACTCTCGCTAAGCCTCTGGCCAAAAACCGGGGGTAGAGGAGGTAAAATCTGGTTAAATGGGTAAATATGGCCAGATAATAAGAAAAATAGAATATGGATCCATAGCTGGGAACTTTAGAATATTGGATATCAGGATTAATGCTTGATCCACTCTTTTTCTTAATCTCCAGATTAAATATTGCTTGTTCTCCTCATGAATTTAATCTCCAGATTAATTAACAGATCAGGATTAAGGATATCACATTCTAAAGTTTCCAGCTCAGGGAAGATAGACCAAAGAGAAGGAAAAATAGAATATGGATCCATGGAAGATAGACCAAAGAGAAGGAAAAAAATTATTATTCAAATCTATATTTGGCTCAAAATGCACATACAGTAATTTAACATGTATATATTGATAAAAATATGGATTTCGATTAAGTGAATAAACTATTAGAACTATACATTACATTATACATCTATACAGCATTTCACGTGCATAACTTAAATTAGATATTTGCGTAATTTACGATTATTTATGATTAGTTATTATTATATGAATAAATAAATAAAACCGGGTCAATTAATTCGGACTATGAGCCTTTATCTGTGGAAAATAACGTTTCAAATAGAAAAAAAAAGGATTCATCGCCGCTTCACTTTAAAGAGGCTGTGAGTGTAATGTTTAAGTGACCCTCCATGCAAAGATGGCAATGCCCGATTTACAAAGGTACCCTTAAAAAATTTCTACTGCAGGAAAACATATTAGAATTATCAGAACTTTAACACTTGGTAAGCCTAGAAAAACTACAATATCTTCCACATTATTGATCATATAAAGGTTACAATTGCACCCTTGTAAACCTGACATTGACATCTTTGCATGGAGGTTATATAACTTGAAATTAAGCTTAACTCCTCTTTAATCAAAATTTTTAGCTAAGATACTTGTTACAAATAGAAAATTAATGCAATATTATTTAATTATTAAAAATTATAACGGAATAAGAAAACGCGGGAATTCGAAAACGGTCTGAAGGCATTTCACCTTTATTCCGATATTTTAAAGAGAATGAAAAATATTCTAATTCCAATTATATAAGAGACATGAATCTTGACGAAATAATCCCAGCTTAATATTATCTATCCCAAAGTTTATCTACAGAGTGAGAAATAGAAAACTGGATTTCTTGACGTTTTTTTAGAAAAACATCATTTCTGAAGTTTAAACAGACACAGTGCTTGAGGCCTGGAATAGCACTTCAAGCTGGGAAAGGTGAGGAAATGATTCTGTGGTTTTACAAATGTTTTGTCTTAATTTAATTTCACGTCATTCCTACTGTACATAGATAGTTTCACTTCATTCCTACTGTACATAGATAGTTTCACGTTATTCCTACTGTACATAGATTGTTTCACGTCTTTCCTACTGTACATAAATAATTTCACGTCATTCCTACTGTACACAGATAGTTTCACTTCATTCCTACTGTACATAGATAGTTTCACGTCATTCCTACTGTACATAGATAGTTTCACGTCATTCCTACTGTACATAGATAGTTTCACGTCTTTCCTACTGTACATAGATAGTTTCACGTCTTTCCTACTGTACATAGATAGTTTCACGTCTTTAAAAAGTTTTAAAGGCTAGAAAATTTTTAGCCTGACAGGTTTTTTTGTACTTGTTAAACGATCATTTATTTGTTCATATTAGTGTACAGCCTATGTATGTGTTTGAGACCCCCCCCCACCCCCCGGCCTCCAGCCCTCTCCCCTCCAGCTGTTTTAGGAAGAAAATGAACGTTAAGACGACAAAACTTGTTCATGATTTTTCTTATACTTTTTTAATCTTTTTAAAATCCTGTAAAAATGATTGATTTTCTCCTAAAAAAAGTAATTATTTGAATAGGAAATCATTTAAAAAGACTTTATAAAACAGCTGAAATGGTTTCAAGGAAAACGATGAGAGCAGATTTTTAAGAGTTTTTTTTAAGATGATTTCTAAAAACTCTACAAACAATTAAATGTAAACCTGCTCGTCATTGACGCAACTATGTATAAATGTATATGTAGTATCCGCCCCAACCCCGCCTACCTTCATCATTGTAACTGAGACACCCCCAGTCCTTTATGGAGCAAAGTATGCCACAACATAAAATGTTAAAAGAATCGATGATGGTGATATCTATGTTTTCCTAACTGATAATTGATCATAGGGACGATACTTTAAAAGCAACCAAGATTATTAAGTCAAAGATGATTATGAAAATGAGAAAGTAAGTAAATCTGAAGACAAACGAACTGACCTAAGAACCGGCGCTAAATATTACCAAATATTATTGTTTAAATAGGATTCCATTAGCTCAAAATTCCTTTTCATAATGAACTATTTTTAAAGATTTTCACGGAAAGCTAAAAAAAATTGTTTCATATTTGAAGGATTTATCAACCTCTTAGTTTGCGGTAGAAAAGTAGTTAGGGAGATATTTACCATCCCTCTCAACAGATCAGAAAAAAAAGAAAAAAATGTGAATCTAACATCTACGTTATTTACTCTAGAGGTTTGGTCCATCACTATCACCAAATTTTAAAATTAGCAAAGTCAGCTAAAAATCTATATTTATATTTTTCATTTCCAATTTTTTTAAAATTTCATTTAATCAAATCTAATATTTGGTTTTTAACAGATAAATATATTGTTATGATACTCCTGCAATCTGATATCAAGATAATAAAACAAAACTAGGCAGCAGGCACTGTATTTATTTAGTTGGTTACATATACAATATTTTGTGTTTAAATTCACATGTCCGTGTTGGCCAAAATATTAATATTTCCAACTAACTACATGTTTATCTGTCTATCTATATTCTTGAAGGACAGAAAGCGTCCTGCTGCTTATCTTCTGTTTTGTTTGATCTATTTATGAAAAAGTGAAACAATGCATCCTGATAAAGTATATTGGGCTGTAAATCTATAAAAACTGTTAAAATACAACTTCACACAAAAGAAAATCAATCTAATTTCTTCACTTGAACATCTTTCTGTATAACTCACACCTTATGAACTAAAAATATCGAGTCCTTGCCACTGACTCTGATTTTATAATCTCTATACCTTTGCAAACCAATTCATGCGTAGACCTTAGATATTTCAAACTTAGATTATTTGATCTAACATAATTCATAGTTTGAAATATATAAAGTCTACGCCATTTGGTTTCAAGATATAGGGATAAGAA